CCATGCTGGAGTGCAGTGGCCTGATCACAGCTCACTGCAGCCTTCACCTCTTGGCTTACACAATTCTCCTACCTTGGCCGCCAGAGTAGCTGGGACTACAGGCGCACACCACCACGCCCAGCTAATTTTAGTTATTTTTTTTTTTAGACGGAGTTTCACTCTTGTTGCCAGGTTGGAGTGCAGTGGCATGATCTTGGCTCACTGCAACCTCCGCCTTTGGGTTTCAAGCGATGTTCCTGCCTCAGCCTCCTGAGTAGCTGGGATTACAGTCACGCAACACCACGCCCAGCCAATTTTTGTATTTTTAGTAGAGATGGGGTTCCACCATGTTGGCCAGGCTGGTCTCCAATTCCGGACCTTGTGATCCACCCACCTTGGCCTCCCAAAGTGCGGGGATTACAGGCGTGAGCCACTGTGCCTGGCCTAATTTTTATATTTTGTTTTAGAGATGGGAGTCTTGCCATGTTGCCCAGGCTGATCTTGAACTCCTGGGCTCAAGCAATCTGCCTGCCTCAGCCTCCCAAAGTGCTAGGATTACAGGCATGAGCCACTGGACCCAGCCTATTGACCCATCATTCGTAATATCTAAAGACTGAGAACAACCTAAACCTCCATCACTAAGGGATGGGTGAGTAAATTATATATGCATACAAAGGGATACTACACAATGTGAAAAAATATTAGCACCTATGTGCTGATATGGAAAGATCTTCAAGATATATTGCTAAGGTACACAATAAAAAGATACATAGGGCCAGGCACAGAGGCTTACGCCTATAATCCCAGCATTTTGGAAGGTCGAGACGTGCGGATCATGGGGTCAGGGGGTTGAGATCATCCTGGCTAACATGGTGAAACTATCTCTACTAAAAATACAAAAAATTAGCCGGGTGTGGTGGTGGGCACCTGTAATCCCAGCTACTCAGGAGGCTGAGGCAAGGAGAATTGCTTGAACCCAGGAGGCAGAGGTTGCCGTCAGCTGAGATCATGCCACTGCACTCCAGCCTGGGTGACAGAGCTGACTCAGTCTAAAAAAAAAAAAACTTATACAAGAATGTTCATAATTATCTTATTCATAATAGCTAAAACTGATCATTCAAATGTCTACCAACATGTAAAGTATGGTGTATTCATATAATGAAGTGCTACACAACAAAGAACAAATAACTAATATACCCAACGACACGGATGATCTCAAACAATATTGAGTCAAAGACGTCAGACACAAAGAGAACACAGTGCATGGTTCTATTTCCATGCAGAGTAAGAGGAGGTAGATCGAATCTATGGTGATGGTAGCCAGAGGGGTGTTACCCCTTGGGGAATGGGGAGGTGAGCCTGGACTGAAAGGGGCAAAAGAGGACCTCCTGGGGCGGTGGACATGCTCCATGTCTAGATCTGGAAGGTGGTTATACTGGCTTTTATAATGTACGTTAAAAAAATCACCTAATTGCATTTTCGGCGATTTTTCTTTCCTTTTTTTTTTTTTTTTTTTTTTGGAGGCAGGGTCTGGCTTTGTTACCCAGGCTCAAGTGATCCTCCCACCTCAGCCTCCCAAGTAGCTGGGCTTACAGGCGCGCGCCACCACGCTCAGCTAATTTTTGTATTTTTAGTAGAGACAGTTTTCACCATGTTGGCCAGGATGCTGCTCTCGATCTCTTGTCTTCGTGATCCGCCCACCTTGGCCTCCCAAAGTGCTGGGATTACAGGGGTGAGCCACCTCGCCCAGCTCCCAATCTTTCATTTTTTTCAACAGACAGGGTTCACTATATTGCCCAGGCTGGCCTTGAACTTCTGGGCTCAAGTGACCCTCTTGCCTCATCCTGTAGAGTACCTGGGACTACAGGTGTGTGCCATCATACCGGCTTTATACTTTAACTTTTAAAAAGGCATATTTCTAAAAAGAGAGAAAAAAAAAACAAGATTCAGACTAGTGTGCATAGTAAGTGCATTAAAAAATGGGAGAAAGAATATAAAATAAAATGTCTTACCAATAAGTGCAGAGCAGTAAAAAATAAAAAAGAAAGAATATAAAGTCATGTTTGCTTAAACGACGACGACCCTCAAGTCTAGAGGACACAATCTACTTTGGTGGTGGATTTACCAGAAGGGTCCAGGGAAGGGAGAGAGAGGCTTTTCACCTTTTTATCGTTTTGGACTTTTGACTCCTAAGCAAAAATTACTCATTCAAACAATTTTAGAAGTTTAAATTAAGAAAGAATCCAGCCTGAGAACTGCTGCACTTGAATAGGTGAGTTCATGCCATTTACTTCTGTCATTTGAACTTTTCCTCTATCCTATATTTGTACTTCTCGTTTACCAGGATTTTCCCTCTTTCATATGGTTAGTGGGTTGAATTTTGTTGTTCCATTCCCCACCTGTGCCCAGTAATTTGAAAGGTTCTGTCTGTCCTGCGGTCACCCCCCACTTAACCCGCCTACTGAAGCTCATTGTTTCACCATGTCTAGAGTTGGCCATTATCTATAACCTCCCACCAAGAAGGTCAAGAGCCCTTGCAGACATCTGCCTTCTACTCTTTCCCTCAGCATCCCTCTCCCTATATATTTTGGAATTTTAGACTCAAATTTGGCAGGGAGAAAGTTTTAAAGAGAAATTAATGGAAATACTTAATTTTAAATAATTTTACAAGGTGCGGTGGCTCCCACCTCTAATCTCAGAGCTTTAGGAGACCAAGGTGGGAGGATCACTTGAGCCCAGGAGTTTAAGACCCTATTTCAGAAAAAAAAAAAAAAAAATTAGCCAGGTGTGGTAGCATACAGGTAATCCCAGCTACTTGGGAGGCTGAGGCAGAAGGATCATTTGAGCCGAGTTTGAGGCTGCAGTGAGCTGTAATTGGGCCACTGTACTCTACCCTGGGTGACACAGCAAAATTGTCTCTAAAATAAACAAACCTATACTTACCATCGTGGGTCTTAACCCCATTACCTTCTCCTGAATTCCTTTTTATTATATATCTACCAGTAATTCCTTTGTTGTAGGTTTATGGGTGGTAATCTTTTTAAATTCTTTTATACTGTATTTGAAAATGTCGGCCAAGCATGGTGGCTTATGCCTCTAATTCTAGCACTTTGGGAGGCCAAGGTGGGAGGATTGCTTGGGCTCAGGAGTTTGAGACCAGCCTGGGCAACATAAGTGAGACCCTGTCTCTACAAAAATTTTTTTAAAAATTAGCTGGGCATGGTGGCACTCACCTCTAGTCCCAGCTACTCAGGAGGCTGAAACAGGAGGATCGCTTAAGCCCAGGGTCTTGGAAAGAGTCCACATCCTGGCCTTTTCCAGCTCCATGGCCTCGTCCTCTTCCTTTCTGCAACCAATCAGATGTTTTGCACAGGACTGTGACCTTTGTAACTTCCCTTAAGCCTCTGGTTGGCTGCTGTCTGCAACCAACTGATTGCAGGCTACCACTTCATTTACATGAGGTGAGCATTAAGTAGTCAGTGGGAAACTTCCAGTGGGTATGTGGACCCAAGATTCTGTATCTGGGCCTTGAGCCGCTGCTCAGTCCGCTCCCACACTGTGGAGTGTACTTTTGCTTTCAATAAATCCCTTTTATTCTTTTGTTGCTTCATTCTTTCTTTGCTTTTCTGGGAGTTTTGTCCAATTATTTGTTTAAAACACCAAGAACCTGGGCAGCTTGCAGTCACAACCCTCTACGGGTGACACAATGACACCTCGCCGCTCATTTTTTTGCCCTTGGAGTTGGCTGTGTCCAAAACTCTGCACCTCAGAGGTGTGTGTCCAGCGGTCACTCCTGGGGCCCTGGGAGGCGTGAGGGGAGCAGGATGGGATGGTAGCGAGTAGAGCCTGCAGAGGGCAGAAGCCAGCCTGGATGAAGCCCCTGCTAAGCTGTCCTGGGGCGGGTGGGCCCTTGGGGTCCTCCCTTGTAAGCTGCCCCTGGCCTGGTGCTGCAAAAGCAAGTGGAGCCTCATCTGACTTCTCCATAGAGAGGGTGCAGGCGAAGGAGCAGGCATGTTGGGAGGATCGCAAAGTCCAAGCAGACGTCAGCTGAGCTCATTCCACACGCCGCTGAGCCACTCTCTGGGGCACTCCCAGCCCTCTGTTGGCCTCAATAGCATTTCTCCCTTCCTGGGTTTCCTGGTCCAGTATCCCACCTACTATACACATGTCCCGAACTCTGCTTTGGAGCCCAATTCTCACCATGTGGCATGTCTGTCCCAGCTGGCCATCTTCCTGGAATTCAGCCCAAATCAAATACTTTTGGGAACTTCCCGCAAGGTTTCAAAGAAGCTTTTCTGACACACAGCCACCATGAAGGGTGTGCCAGTCCCAGGCCCTGCTGTGGACATGAGGACACCCATCCCCCACTGGCTGAGCCAGCTACAAAGGCCTCACAGTCCAGCCCCGGCCATCCAGGAGGACAGTGAGCACAGCCTGAGAATGGTATTTGGATCTTTAAGAAAATGAGACTGACTCCAAAATCTAAAACTACCTTTATTGTGGTTGGCTCGACATGAGATGCCACAATCACTCAGCAGAATTATAAAACTGTACAGGAGGTACAAAAATAGGCCGTTTAACTTAGATAATGACCCTCATGTCTTCAAGCTTTAAAAATACACATAAAAGTTGTACAATCTGGCAGTTTATAAAATATAAAGCTAAAAAGAGGATTTCAGGTTCCATCCACAAAGAGGACTGTATTATACAATTAACACATACTAATTAAACAATTAACCATCCATAAAGAAGACACAACGGCACAGAATTCTTAAAAATCACCTAAAAATAAACATTTTACCCCGACCAAATTAATCACCCTTTAGTAATAAGACTACTGTAAAGCATCCATCCCATGGAAGGCTACCGTGTCACTTTCCATTTTCCAGTTTTAAAATGGTCAGGGGTGTTGTCCAAAACAAATCTGATGTGTTTTAAGCAAGTACAGTTGTAACTGGATACATTTCAGAGTAAAAATTAAATAAATATAAATAGGTTAAATAAATAGGTCATTGCAAAAGAACACTACACAAGGTTTGCATCTGAGAATGCAGCGTAGGTAACTGGTAATGCTTTCCAGGTAAGTGGGGACCCCCCATCACAGCTTCAGGGACACTGAAAAGGAATACTGTATCCACCAAACACACACACAGTACACAGGGGAGGTGGGGGGCTTGGCTAAAGTGCCAGTTAAGGCTGTTCCAGTGGGAGGCTCATTGCAGACATGTTCTTTGTGGTTTTCCAATGTCTACAGAAAAGATTTAAGTGCCAGTACAAAAAATCAGAACCAGGGAAATCACTGTTTCATAAAGTAAACAAAGTAGAGGAGGGGAGCAGACACTCGGGTTTAAAGGATGATGTCCAAACCGGGAAGGTGGAATTTCGGCTTGCCTGGAGAGGATAACTGATGACTTCCTGCCAGGAGAAACCAAGGCCAGGACACAGGCAACTAAAATGACTCCAGGATGGTAAAGGAAGGAGCAAGGAAAAGAAATGCTGGGAAATACAAAGAAAAGCAATTTCAGACACGAAAAGCAGAGAGATAAAGTGAAATGGGGAGCTTAAAGGGGCTCCTTGCAGGGTGCTGGGCTTTCTCTTCCAGCACAGAAGGCTGCGAAAGTGCAACTGTCCCCCATCCCAGATCGCAAGGCCGAAGATCCAATGGGCACACCACGAGCATCCAAGGAAAGGACAGAGAATGGAACTGCTCCGGGAACGTCAAACCTGGCCAAAGTCCAACTTCCTGAAAAGAAAGTGGCCAGAGGAGAAAGCTGCACAATCCAAAGCCCCTCATCTGCAGGTTTCATCAGCAACCAATTAATCTCTCTCACTGCAGCGAGAAAGAATTGCCAAAGATAACTGAATTGCATGCACACAAAACCTTACAAAGGCTCAGGGTCAACTCTGATAAGGCCCTTTCTTCTAGAGCTGGTGGGAAGAAACTGCCGGATCTGCCGGATGCACTCACCTGCAGATCTTCCAGAACATCTATCTGTAACTGATCAGAGTGATGTCTCCTTGGAAAGACCTCTGACCATCACTGGACTGAGAACACGGTGGAAGGGGAGAACACCTATGCACCCAGGATTTCATACTTGAGCCGCGAGATTGCTTTACGGCTAATCAAGGAATACCAATGCTCCTGAAGTGAAAATGCTTTGGTGCTTGTGGAGTGCTTCAAAACCAAAATTAAAAAGACTCAAGAAGCAACAAGAGAAATTCTGGCACATGTACCCAAGAGTAGTTCAATACAAGGTTCAAGACAAGATTTAAATAAATCATAGTGTCCTTTGGATTCCTAACAGATGCGACCAAGTTCCGTCTTAAAGATGAAGATAGTGTACAATACTTCTGAAAAGTTCAACAGCCTTCCAGGATTGGAGAAGTCCCGTAACCTGAACTACAGATCAAACAGCTCAGCTGCAACATGATACACAATGCTACAGAGCTATTCTGGCCCGAAGAAAAGAACTTTCCACTTGCTGAGCACAGTGGGAAACCAGAATTCTTGAGACTAGAACTGGATATACCAGATGATGCCCAAGGTGTTTTCTTGACAAGTACCCACAAGAGATCTCTTCAAACAATGCCACCCCCCCACCCCCCGCTTAGAAGACTGATGGGAACCTGGGCTCCTAAAGGTAATGAAGAGGAGGGACCAGAGGTGACTGGACCAGTTCCCACTGATTCTGGGACAGAAGAGATGCAAACTGCAAACACGCTCCCTTTCCCACACATGTAGGTTTCTTAGTGGCAGCAACACTTTTTTATTGTTGTCTCTCACCACAAGTTTTAGGAAAGCAGAAGTTTTGCCTGTCTTGTTCATCGCTGTATCCCCAGCACGCTATATCCTGCCTAGCTCAATACAGTAAGTCTTCAAATAAAATACACTGAATAAATGATTTTGAGAAATCTGGGTGGTTAGAAACTCATGATAAGCAGAAAAGGCATTTGAAACAGTCGTCTCTAGGCAAGTTGGGCTAAAACAGGGAGATGACACAAAATTGGGCCACTAAAAATCACCTGGGTACTCCCAAAGAGAAAACCCTGGGCTGACAGTGAGGTGAGCAGCAGTCCCTGTGGCAGTCCTGTTCAATCGCTCGTGGCACCTTCTGATCCTGTCTCGGGTTACTGCCAAAGCCCACAGGTAAAGCGCCTTGCAGCCGTGTGGGGAGCTCTGTCTCAGGCCACCTGGCATGCGGCATCTGAGCAGCAAGAAACGCAGTCTGGCCACGTTTCTGAAAAATGCATAGCCTTGCTTAGAAGACGCCAAGGACACCGACCGAGGGACAAGGTTCCAAGGCCTAAGTGGGGTAATCAATGAGATTTAAGGATGTAGGATCCTGTTAATAGTAAAGAAAAAGATCACTTTAGCTATGATGAAAGGAAGGGAGCCGAATTCAACAAAAGCAGAATAAGAGCTTTTGCTGAGTAACTATGATACAAACACACAATCAGAAAACATCTTACGACATGAAGAAACAGTGATTTTTCTGTGAGTGAGTAAAATTCAACAATCCCATTCTTAATACTGAATGGAGTCTCTGAGTTCACCAGGCCTGAGCTGCAATGATCCCCCTACTGGCTGGAGAAAGTAAACAGACAGTATCTTACATGGTGTGCTGACTGCATTTTAACCTCTAAGGCTCTCGGGAGAGAAAAAACAAAGTTTTGCCTGAAAAGAAAGCTAAAAATTACGTGAATTAAAAAAAAAAAAAAAAACAAAACATGGTACAAACATAATTTAGAGACTATTACTTTGATACTGTTTAATACATTTACATAGTGTTGCTATAACGTTTTACTCTTCAGCATTAGAGAATGTTCTATATATGAACACTCTTTCTTGAGGGCATGGTGATTTTTGGTACCACAAAAAATAGAAGATGTATTCTCTCTTGCATTTACTCTTCATGAGTAAGCTTCACATTTAGCTAACTTATGCTGATGCAGCATTCTACAGTATAATCAAAATAGAGTTATTAAAATTTGCCAAGAAAAACAAAGAAGCAGGCCCATGAAGCGCACAGTGACCCTGGCCTTGGCCACTCACCCTGGCCCTGACTCACCACCAGCCTCTTGTTCCATAAGCCTTGGGGACGGAGGAGGTTGACTGCCTACTTACTGGCCCAGGGCTTTCTCCTGGTGACCAGGAGGGTCCCATTCGGCAGCCTCCCTCTGGTCCTGAAGACTAGCCCCTGTCTGCTCTCCTTGAAGACCAGGGAACTCTTTACCTCTTGTCCCAAGCACTCCTGAACAACACCCCCAGATGGCCCCCAGGACACATCCACCAAAGGCCACTGTTCTAGCCACTGGCACTGGGCCACCACTGCCTCCAGAACAGAGCAGCCTCTTCATTTCTGAGAACTGCAGACATGACCCCACCTGCTGGCATGCATAGCTGACCGGTCTCTAATGCCTCATGCTCACGGCTCCTGCTGCCTCTGCAGAAACACTAGTTAACAGTGACCTGGGCTACTATAAGGCAACTCCTACCCCAGGACAACACCCTCTGAACTCTGTCCTCCCCATCTTCAGCATCCCTCACCTCACAAGTCCGGTCTCCAGTGAAGGCTGCACTTGGTGTGTCTCAGCCTAGCTGTCCCAGCATGCAAGCAAAATGCAGGACTCCCTCCTCTTCCTTCCTGAAAGGCCCATAGACTAACATTAAGTGGGAATTTTTAAAAAATGAAAGTCTGAAGCAAGTTTATCCAGTAGAAGGTTGGCAGGTGCTACTTGCACTGTCTCTGACCCTCCTTTGCAGACATCCCTGACTGTAAGGCTTTGGGGCCAGCATCTTCCCAGCTCCCTGCAGGCCATGAGGGGCCACTTCTCCCACTTCCTGGGGTCAGCACTGTCCTCTGTGGGCTGCGGAGAAGGCAGCTCAAGGCACTTGGTTTGGGAAGCCTAGTCTCCCTGCAAAGCCGGGAGACATCAAGCTCTGGACTGTGGTGACCAGATCTGTAGTCACAGCTGGGGCCACCAGAACAGAGGGGCCGCCCTGGCTCAGAGGGCATCTGGAGTCACTGGGGGCTGGGGCTCCAGGGGCTCGTGGAAGTAGTAGGGCTGGAAGAGTCTCTCGTGGCTGCACAGCTCCATGGCCCGGTAGGTGTGTGCGAGGAGGTGGGGGAAGCGAGATGTGAAGTAGCACACGAAGTCATCCGGGAGGGAGCCCAGCGTCTCCCGCACCTCCAGAGGCAGCTCCCTGTAGTGGTGCTTCTGTAAAGGGAGGTTTAGAGTTAGAAAGCTCAGAAAATGTTGGCAAAACACTCTTTCATCACGCAAAGAAGAGACAGAATGCTAGCGTTGGTTGGTGTTTGGTAAAGAAAAGGAAAAAAGGCTTATGTATCCAACAATCCAGCCCTGTCATCTCTCCTGCTTCCCTCACTAAGGAGGAGGCCTCGAAGTGAGCAAGGCCTGGCTGGTTCAGAGGGGGCTCAGGCCTTCTGTGATGGTCAGGACCTGGAGACACTCCTGGCCACCTCAGGAGGAGTAAAGAGATTGGAGTGTCTGTCCCAGCGGGGTCCCCACATTCGAGGCATATTTATACATGTTTATACACAGTGGCTGCATCAGGCAGGGAGAGGGACCCACAAAAGTCAGCAACCAGAGACCACGAGGGACACGGGCTGCAGAGCACTGCTTCCCAGAGCTTCACCAGCACCTACGTCCCTGAAGAGAAAACCAGCGCAAGGGAAGCAATAGCCTGCAGTTCGTCAAGTCCAGCTGAAGCCACCTAGCCCTTGAGAGATCAGTCACTACAGATAAAGAATGGATGAAAGGAGGAAGGCGTGCAGGTCACAGCCACTCGGTCTCCTCCCCAGTGGTTACAAACCGCTTACCTTATTCCTCATGGCTCGGAGGAGATCTCTGACAGAACCACCTTTATAGGTCCTGAATTTACGCAGGTCTAGAAAAACATTGAGGGATGCAACGGGTAATCAAATTTTAAACTAATACATTTTAAAAGAAAACAATTCCTGGGGTGTGGGGATTAGGCAGATGGACTGGAAGGTGAGGTAACCCCAAACCCAGTCACGGGAGCAGATCCTCCCATCCAACCCAAGGGTGGTGTCTCCCTGACCCCACCTGGTGATTGCACCTAGATCAGAAATGACCACCTAGAGCACGACACCATCACTCACCTGTCACTCTAGGGAACAAAAATGAAATACACATCAGTGTAACCAAACCACAGAGGACACACCCAAGGAAGTCCCAAACCCGACAGGTAGGATCTGGAGCCTGAACAGCCTGGAGCGATAATTTCCATGTTTACTTCTTAGAAATGGCGGCAGCTTTCACAACGTGCCCTCCCACAGGCTGCAGTGTGATTACCTGTCTGGAGGGGGACGGTGATGTTCTCCCGCCAATCCATCTTCACCACAGCTCTCCCACCTCTCTCTAACTGCTTCACGATCGGGCCATCCAGGGATTCCTTTTCTATTCTGTCGCTCACGTCCTGTAAGAGAAACAAGGGCAGCAGATGATGGTCAGGGATGGAGACGCTGAGAGCTGCTTGATTGGCACTCTGAGGAACAGACAGTCACTGGCACAGGAGGCATCAAGGGATGACGGCCCCTAGGCCCAGACTGGAGCCTGCCCCAGAGCGGAGCAGCAGGCACTATGCCCCTGCCTCCCTCATCTATGACATTCCCTGTGAGCAGCCCTGTCTGTTCCTCACTGAGGACAGGCCCACAGAGATCTTCTCCATGACAGAGTTGCCACAGACACACACCTGCACATAGACCATGAACGCATCCCCCGAATCGCACATGTGCACACACATGCCACATGTACGGAGCCTCAAGTGCAATCCATATCCAATGAACCAAAATGAAAAAGAAAAGGAAAGCTCAGATGCGATGTGCATCCTGTGCTCTGTCTACTCACTGAAACAGGGTATGCTCAAGCCCATCACTGGTGGAGGGGCACTACTCCTCCCTCCAACAATACAAAAGACCAGGCCTTCTTCTCAAAGAGGAAATTTGGTGGCAAGAATATGGGTTCCAGAGGCTTCTGTCGGGATTAAACCTTGCTCTGCATTTGACTTTGGTAATAAGGAGAGGCTCAGGAAGCACCCCAAGTACTGGACCCTTGAAGTCCCACAGAGGACACAGGGAGTAAAGCCCTGCCTACGTCAATGTTAAGTAGCCTTAGGAGACCCTTTGCTCTGGCAGCCTTTTCTGTGATGAACATGAAGCCAGACTGGCTGAACTCCTAACTTACATTTGTTAGAGAAAAGCTGTGGAGAGGTTACGTTGTCAACTTGGGTGCACTGGGAACATACATGTCTGAGCTACAAAGCTGTTATGGCTGAATGACCCAGGTGGAGGCCACGTGTGTTCGAGAGACATACAACCTGGAGAGACTAAGCATTTAAATCCTGTCCCATGGTTGGGGAAGGTCCCTTTGTGTGAGTTTTATTCCTGTTCTATATTTTGTGACTGAAATGACCTGGCTAGTTTTCACAAGTCCCTTGAAGACATATGGTCTTGAGAATTTTCACATTACATCCATGGACAGTGACTAATCCTCACGCTACAACAGGAAGATAGCATCAAACCCTCCCCCTCCCAATCTACCTGAATGCTTACTGAGCCTCCACCTCAGGCCAGGCGTTGTCCTCTCTAGGAGGCAGGGACACAGTAGTGAATGCAGCGGTCAAACACCCTGTCCTTGAGGAGCTTACATTCTGGGGGCTTCCCTCTGGCCAAGGCCCCAGTCAGACTCCAGGAGAGCATGATGGTCACTTCTGAGTCTGGTGCTCACCAAGGTGCACTCTGCCCGGACCCAAGGAGAAAAGCACAGTCCCACAAGCCTGCTCTTCAGAGCCATGTGCTGGGCAGGAGGTGTTTGGGTGAGTTGTGCTCAATTCATGCCATGGAAGACTTTGAAAAACACATCACCTCTCCAAAGCCACCTGACATTGTCACAAAGCTTTAAAACAGTCAAATCACCAAAGGATTTCTAACTTTGCAGAACCTATTTTAAGCAAAATGAGATCTGGGCAAAGACTATGTAAAAGGTGACTGAAAGAAATACAATATAAGAAAGCACTGAAATTTATGACACTTGGGCTGGGCGTGATGACTCACGCCTATAATCCCAGCATTTTGGGAGGCTGAGGCGGGCAGATCACTTGAGGTCGGGAGTTCAAGACCAGTCAGGCCAGCATGGAAACCCCGTCTCTAATAAAAACACAAAAAAAGTTAGCCAGGCATGGTGGTACATGTTTGTAATCCCAGCTACTCAGGAAGCTGAGGCAGGAGAATCACTTGAACCCAGGAGGCGGAGGTTGCAGTGAGCCAAGATCGCACCACTGCACTCCAGCCTGGGTGACAGAGTGAGATACTGTCTCAAAAAAAAAAAAAAAAAAAAAAAATTAAAAATAAATAAACTTATGACACTTGAATGAAATTATATGATGCCTGAGATTTGCTTTGAAATAACCTGGGGTGGGGACAGGGTGAATGTTAATACTTGTGGAACCTGGGGGACGAATAAAGGAGTGCCTGCTATTAGTGTTTAAACTTTTATGTATTACATATTTGGACATTCCATAATATAAAACTTAACAATTATGACACATCCATATGAGTAGAATACTTTAGTCAATAGCTTTAGAACTTTAACATAAAAGATACTTAGAATACCATGTACAGCTAAAAAAAGAGTGGGTTCTGAAATTGTATATAGTATACAGTTAGATGCCAATTATACTTTTATATATGAAGAAAACATTAAAATATCAGCCATGATTATCTCTCAGTTATAGAGTAATGGACAATTTGTTTTATTCTTTGTCCTTTTCTACATTTTCAAAATCTGAAAAACATTAAATGAAGACTTTGGATAAATAAAACAGACGTCTCTACCTGAAAGAACTGGAGTTGCTTCTCTAGGCTCCAGAAGAACGGATGTTTGAGCACGTGCTTTGCTGAGGGGCGTTTCTGAGGATCCATTGCAATCATCTTCTCTATCAATTCACGTGCAATGACGTCTTCTATAAAGGAGGAAAATAAGCAACTCATGATTACTGGCCCGAAGCCACAGTGAAATACCAAAAACTTAAAAAGCTGCATACCTTCTCATTTATGATTCTACTTACAGGAATTTATTCCAGTAAAATAATTAGGAACAGACACAAAACCTCAGCCAATGAGGGAAGCCCTCACTGCATGGTTTGTGAAGGGAGTGATTGAAAATATCCATTATCAGTGGCCCCGGGTGGATATACTACTGTGCCTCCCTACCCTGGGCCATGAGCTGTTAAAATGAGGCTGTGGTAATACAGACTGACGTGGAGACAGATTCAAGGTGATGTTGAAAAAACATGCATGTTGCAAAATGGTATGCAGGATTTCACCATATTTTTATAAAATATGCATACAAGTCTAGATAAATGACTGAAATAACACAAATCCAAAGGCATTAATAACCATTATTCATCCCTGTATAATGGAAATACACGGACCTTTATGTTAATCTACATTTTCTATAATCGGGAAAATTAAGCATAAAAAATAATTCATTTTTTTCAAAAGGCAGCACTGGAGTGTCATGAGCCAATTACCACCCAGGAAAACCTGAAGTCTAGAAGAAGGACTTGTTGCACCCACCGCGGAACACCAGGAGGGTGAGGATAAAGCTTGTCTGCCCCAGCCCAGCACATACTGCTCCTGCTGACCACTGGCCCTCACACGAGAGAAGACAATTTGCCTTCCCAAATACCAGTGCAGGAAGGGACCTCGGATTAACCCTCATGTCACCAGGTAGAAAAAGAAGGTCTCCAAAGGGGGCTTTTCCCAGCTCACACAAGTAGTTGGAGGAACCTTGGAGTGCCTCGGCTTTAGAAGGTGATGCCCCCGGGATAATCCTATGAGCTGTCCACCAGATGCAGCACGAGTCTGTAGGCTCCTGAGGCCTGCAGGGTGAGCAGCTGGGGCACCAGGGCCTCTGTGAGTGCAGAGGTGACACCAGCCCAGCTCCATGGGGGCCACCTTAGCTGAGGAGCTGCTCCCAACCCTGACCCCTGGACCACTCACCGTGCTTCTCTGGGTGCAAACAGTCGAGGCTGCAGGCACCCAAGAGGATGTTGGCCTGCCGCTGTAGGGACTTGCCAAATGGGTGGCTGCCCTCAGAGATCACGTAGTAAAAGACGCAGCCTGCAGAAAAGATGTCCACCGTGTAGGTCTGAAAAGAGACATGAGGTGTGAAAGGTCTGGGAGCAGAGCTTTCATCCTCACTCACAGCCAGGGAGGGAGGGGCGTTGCTGTTGCTGCTGCCACCTGGAAGGTGTCCTGGGAGAATCAGCTGACATACGTGAACTGCACAGAGCAGCGAGGGGTAACCTGCAGCCCTGCATGGGTGTCAGAGGTCACAGTGGAGGACCTGGGCTTGGAGCCAGCTGGAATCTTCCCCTGGCTCCCTCTCATGTGCGATGAGGACACTGACAGCATGCTCCTTGTGGGCTTGTTGTCAAGAGAGATGCATTAATATGCGAAAATGGTTGCTTATGACAGTGCTTAGCCCATCAAAAGCTCTCCTGGATGTTATATATTCCTGACCCCCAACATGAAAGTGCTCACAGGCAGGATCTCTGTGTCTTTGCTTCCCCGCTATACCCCCAGGGCCCAGAATGGTACCTACACACAGTAGGTATCAAAACTGCTAATAAGTGAATAGAACAGCTTATGATTCAAAACCAGCCCCAGAAAGAAACTATCTGACAAGTTGTCAAGATATTGACATTAATCCAAGAAAGTCTTTCACTTATCCTATGAAACCATTCTGTGTCCACAGATGAGCTTCCTTTTAGGGAAATGTACATTTGTGATTTCTAGCTTTGCTATCTGGGTGGAACACCAGGGTGGCTCCTGAGCACAGCTTGGGTCCCCATCACTAGGCCCCACCTCTGAGATTCTCCACCAGGCAAAGTGAGGGTCTGGTGAGAGGAATCAGGGGCTCATTGCCTCCCATGCTGCAGAATACACCTTGAACAACATGGCACTCTCATTCAGCCTCACAACAACCCTGTGAGGCGGGCAGAGCAAATGCTTTCATCCCCAGACGAGAACGTGGACAGAAAGATTGCATGACGAGCTCAGGGTCACTGCTAGATGTGACAAACCAGGACTAGACTCAGGTCTTCCAATTCCCAGACTAGCATGCTTTATTCCATCTCACCAGATTTTCCCTTAGGAAGCTGATGGACTCGGGACAGAAGGAACACAGCCACCATGGCTGGTGCTCTCCCCTGACTCCCAGAGCTCTCTGGGTCTCCCACACCCCCCCAACACTTTGTGCAGCCTGTGCTGTCCCCAGCATAGTCAACACTAAGGTGCAGAGGCATCTTTCCTACCTGCCTGGTCCCAATTATGTTCTTTCCCAAACTTATTATTGCCACTTGTCCTTGTCATTTGGATATTCCATAAGCTGTGAAACATGAGCGCCACGAAGTCTGAGATAAACTGAATTTTTAGAAAGGCTCGACAAAGGAAAGGGAATGGCTACAAAAGCTGTGATAGCATTTGGTGGGTGGACTCCAGTGTGAGAGACTGGGTCATGAGGAGTTAAAACCAGGCTTCTGCTCTCAAATCACTTAGGAAGGGTTTGAAATGTCGAATGCTCCATCCAGAAGTCACGGAAGTGGTACAGGAGTGTGCTTCATGCAAGGGAGAAAATGAGGACTCCTGTCAGTCAGACCCAAATCTGAAAAGACCCTGGCCTATGGCACAAGATTTCTATGATTTAAGGGCTTATATTATTTGCTTTAAATTAAAATTGTTACAGTGTATGTGCATGTTTTTATGATTCTTTGCTGTAACGGACTTCTTTGATGAACTGACCAGCTGCTGGTCCCTGGTGAGCTAGATAAGAGGGGACCATATCTAATCCACTCAAGATGGCTGACCCATCCAGGTCTCAATCACGGAGAGTCCAAGGTGAGCCTCAGCGACTTGTGCTAGAAAATCAGTGCGCTCCTAGCAAATGGATGCAGAATCCACCTTGAAGGGGTTCCAGGTTGGCCAAATTTGGAACAATTTGTGTATCAAAAGAAGTAAATAACATAAAAAGGACTACAATGGATTATAACATAGTTTCAAAATCCTTGAGCCCACAGTGATTAAGAAAAAAAGAGAGAGAGAGAAGAAAGTGAAAAGAGAGTGACAGAAGAAAGTGAAAAGAAAGCTCTGCTTTACAGAAAAATGTCAGCTAATAATGTAGAAGAATTTCCACTGAGAACTTCAGTCAAGGATGATCAACAGATGCTAAACCACTAGGTGACTGACTGTCAGTAAACAGGATATTCACACTGTGCTGAAGTATTACCCCAAATACTAACAACAGAGGAGGAAATGAACCCTTATGGTGGAGAGATCAGCTGTAGCATCACTAAGAGGTAGGGGGGTGATAATAATCTTACAGATACAATCTGCCATCACGTTTTTTGATTATCTATTGGTGCTAAAAACATTTAACTTGAACCTAATCAAGCCTCTAACCTAACTTCTGGTTTCCAGGAAATACGAGGAATAGAGAGAAATGTTCAACACTGTCATGAGGAAACAAACAAATCAGAATGAGGCATCCTATAACCCACTGCTTGGACTCTTCAAAATGGCAGTAACGTGGAACAAAATAGGTGGAAAGATTTGTAAATTCCAAGAGATAGAATCAAATGTAATGCAAGACGCCTGATGCATCCTGGTATACAAAACTTAGTAGGCAGCAAAACCCAGGAGGTAGGAAAATACTCAGCTCTATAAAAGACATTTGGGAACTGACTGAGGAAATTTGAATATGGATTGAATACGAGAGGATGGATAGAAACGGTATTAAGCTGAGGTGGCATAATGGGATCGTAGTGAAAAACAGAATGTATTCCTTAGGAGACACGTGCGGAAGTATTTAGGGGTGAAGTGCCAGGATGCCTGCATTCAAATAGTTCAGTAATAGGTAAAGACAAAGCAAATGTGGCAAAAGTGTTAACAAATGTTGAATCTAGGTAGAGGTACAGAGGTATTCATGATAACGTTCTTTCAGCAACACGCTATGGCTCTTGTCTATAACCTCAGCACTTTGGGAGGCTAAGGTGGGAGGACTGCCTGAGCCCAGGAGTTCAAGACCAGCCTGGGCAAAACAGCAAGATCCCACCTTTAAAAAAAAAAATTCTTTCTATTTTCTCTATGTCTAAAAATTATCAAAATAAGTTGAGAAAACAAAAACAAAATTTTTAAAATAATGAAAACTTGAAGTTTGCTCACCCTATACAAGTCCTGACTTCCCAGTTTACCAAAATTAAAAAGGGGTTAAAAAGTGATTGATTTAGCCAGGTGTGGTGGCAGACACCTGTAATCTCAGCTACTCAGGAGGCTGAAGCGGGAGAATCACTTGAACCTGGGAGGCAGAGGTTGCAGTGAGCCGAGATCATGTCACTACACTCCAGCCTGGGCAACAGAGTGAGACTCTGTCTCAAAAAAAAAAAAAAAAAAAAGGAAAAAAAAAAATAGGGAAAAAAAAAAAAATAGGTAACGGCCCACATTTGCCCCTTTAATCATCTGAACATAAGCTGACATAGAAAGTTCACAAAGAAGATCTTGGTGAAAGGAATGCCGTTCTCCAGCTACGTGGGCACCAGCCCCCAAACCTGGAATTTAAAGGTTCTCACTCCTGAAGATACAATGGGCTGGTTCTGTAGTTTTCAAAGGGCCATGCCTATTACTTACAGGGTTCTCCTTACAGTCTTCGCTCAGCATCTCCGGAGCGATCCAGCCTTCTGTGCCAGGCACCCCAGATCGGCGGCTGAAGCTGTGTCTGCCCACTGCCAGCTTCTTGCAGAGGCCAAAGTCGGAGATCATGGCCTTAATCTTGCCGTGTGCATTGGGCATGGATATGAGAATGTTGTGGGGCTTTAGGTCTCTGTGAACTAATAGGGAACTCCAGATTAGTCCAATGCTTACCAAGAGCAACCCCAGGTCTCCTTCTCCAATGGGGAGTGTCCTTGTCGGACTCCCAATATGCCTGCTGCCACCTCCAAAGGTTCTGGTTTTCAACTATGCAGGATTCCTCCTCAAATTCTTACACCACTCATCTTTGCTACTGGTCATGTAGCCAAGAGCCTGAACAGAAGCAGGGCCCACCCAAGCTACTGGTTAGCCCCACCTGGGCAACTGATTACCCCAACCCCGGCTGCTGGCCTGGTAAAGGGTGGCCTCTCACCGATGTTGAGGGAGTGGAGGTGGGCCAGGCCCGAGGTGGTCTGCTGCAGCAAGGTGATGGGCTCCAGGCCAAGATGTGCAAAGTCCTTCTGCTCCACATACTGCAAAAGACACAACACCAAGGTCATGGCACACAGGCCTCGGGACTTGGCCCCTCAGCTCATTTTCTTTGATACCATTTTAGGAAAGAAATGGGAAGTTTTATTGGCAACATTCTCTGTCTAAATCCTTATTTTCCACCATGGAGCAAAGCTCCAATCTACCAACTTAGAATGAGAAAGATAAGAAGGCAAGAAACTCAAGTTCACTGCCTCATACAGGTAAAGCTACAAAGGAATCCAAATGACACTGAAAGGTAAACCTGGAAACAGCAAAAGGAGTTTGCTGGATGATCTTAAAGCCTGGAGTTACCAACCAGCATCCTCCAAGCCCACACCAGCCACGACTGAAGGTGGGAAGAACAACTGACCAGGTTTCCTGGAGGCCGCGAGGGAGAGACATGCCAACTGTAAGCAACAACTGCCCAGGCATGCTGAGGGGACCACCCTGTTACAACTAGGGGGTAAAAACGCTCTACATTTTGATTGCGTATGTGGTTAAATGAGTACAGACATTTGTCAAAATTCATCAAGCTGTACATTTAAAATGAATACAATTCACTGTAACATTTTTTTTTTTCACAGGGTCTCACTCTGTTGTTCAGGCTGGATGCAACAGCACAATCACTGCTTACTGTAGCCTCAATTTCCTGGGCTCAGGAAATCCTCCCACCTCAGCCTCACAAGCAGCTGAGACTACAGGAGCACATCGTTATGCCTGGCTAATTTTTGGTTTCTTCGTAGAGACGGGGTTTCCCCATGTTGTCCAGGCTGGTCTCAAACTCCCGAGTTCAAGTGATCTGCTCACCTTGGCCTTCCAAAGTGCTATAACTTTAATAAAGTTAACAAAATAAAAAAATAAATCCACCTCTTGCAGGGTGGCTGCACACAGCTCGATGGCAATGTACTGGAATTGCCGGTCCTTCTCCGTGCAGAAGTAGCGGATCACATTCGGGTGCTCATCCGATTCTCGCAACAGCTGGACCTCACGGTCTGCGAAGCTAAAACACTCGGGAAGGATCCTCTTTACAGCCACGTCGCGGTTGTCAAACATGCCCCTGTGGGATGAGGAGCAGGAGTTGTGTCTGGTAAGCACAAGTCAGGCTGTGTACATGAGGTGGGAACCTGGGCCCACAGCAGCCACCCCCTGCCTCCCAGCCTAGAGAGCCCCGACTGACTGCCTGGTGGCCCTGGAATTATCACTTCTCTCCAGGTATAAGCTCCCTGGAGGTGGGACTCCAAGTGCCTAGGTCACTGCTCTGACCCTGCTGTGCTCTGAGCCTGCCACCAGGCTCACCACCTGACAGGCACTTAGACACTAAGCGGTGAGGGCAGGGGGCTGGCTAACCCACTCACCGGTACACAATTGTGCCCTCAGCTCCATGGCCCAGGACGTCCTTGGGACAGAAGGAAATTTTCCCAACCATCACCATGCTGGTTTCCTCATCTGGGACAAAATACGAAAAACAGAGATTGTTTCAAACAGTTATCACCTAAAGAACCTTGAGGGTAACATGATCACAAGCTTCCTGACCTCAGATTAAAAGACGAGATTGAAGAGGCACTACACCCAGACTCCTGCTCAGCAACAGCCTGCTGGGCCTGCTCCCCATTTACACCTAGGGCTGCCTCTCCCTCCCCACCCGTGTTCTGTTTCCAACTTTACCTTATTGTGCAATTGCATGTCTTAAAACCTTCTGGAAGGTAGGGATTCTCCATAGCAATTCATACACTTACACATATTTATTGTGATATAGTTAGAACGGTTTAATGGTTAACCACCACAAAAATCCACTGTAGACCAGGCATGGTGGTTCATGCCTGTAATCCCAGCACTTTGGGAGGCCAAGGTGGGTGGATCACGAGGTCAGGAGATGGAGACCATACTGGCTAACATGGTAAAACTTCATCTCTACTAAAAATACAAAAAAAAATTAGCCAGGTGTGGTGGCACAAGCCTGTAGTCCCAGCTACTCGAGAGGCTGAGGCAGGAGAATCACTTGAACCTGGGGAGGCAGAAGCTGTGGTGAGCTGAGATTGCACCGCACTGCACTCCAGCCTGGACGACAGAGACTCTGTCACAAAAAAAAAAAAAAAAAAAAAAAAAAAATCCATCATAAAGATCCACACTGAAACATTCAGGTGGCAGTAGACTGCCTGGGATGGAGGGCTCTGAGGTTTCTGCACCAGCTCTGTGCCAATTCCCTCAGAATTGGGGCCCTGACAACTGGCCTGAGCCAACTCCCAGAGAGGAAAAGCAGATCAACCGTGGGACTTTCACACTTGGCCACCAGCTGGCCCTGGGAACTCTCTCCAGCCCAATGGACAGATCACCTCTGCTCAGCCGGGACAGCCAGCCCTTATGGAGAAAGGCTGAGGGATAGCTAGCGTGGTCCCCAAAAGGCCCTCTGAGGGAGAGATGCCAAGGGATGGGGCAGAAGCCTTCCCACGGAGACCCCCAGATTGGAAATTAAGGGAGAACATAGTGAACCCCTGAGAATGGCACTTTACAATCTTATGGAGATTCCTTAGACTTCTCAGGAGGTGCTCAAATAAAAGAAAATAGCACCAAGATGGCAACCGACTTTACCTCCGTCGTCCTGTTCCAGGGAGGGGCTGCTGCCAGCCTTGGAGGCAAAGCTGCCAGAGCAGAGCGAGTGGTTGGAGGCCCTGGGGGACGTGCTGGGGCTGCTGGTGCCTGAGCTCTCTGAGTATGGGCCGGACGTGTCCAGGAGCTCGCCGTCCTGAGCCGCGTCTCCAGGTGGGTGGAAGGGCAGCTGCTGCTGCTGCAGGAGCTGGATCTTCTCCAGTTCCTTCTGGAACTGCTGCTGCTGGAGCTGCTGCTGCTGATGCATGCTCTGGGAAGAGAAACCCACATCTAGACAAGGGCAGCTGTTCACGCAGGGAAGCAAGCAGTTGGAAAGGGACAGGTCCCCATGGTGGAGGCAGCATGTGTACTTTATGTGACCACACAGGCCACGAGACCAGTGAGAAGGCACCTGGAGGTGCCTTCTGGAGGTCTTTGCGCCAACTAGTTAGATCCTTGCTCGTACAGCCCACTCCCCAACCTGAGGAGGAGCTGAATGGCCACCAGGGGAGGGACTGTGCCCTAGGTAGAGGGCTGAGCCAGATGGAGGAGCCAGTTTCATTCAGTTCTAAAATTCTGTGATTTTTATGAAAGTCTGAGAGTTGCTGCAAAGGTGAAGTCAAACAGGAAAGCACAGGTAGCATGGCTGAGCCAGTGGTGGGTTGGGGCAAGCCCCAGGTTTGCCATCCTCCATGTCTGTATATTGGCTAGAAGCTAGCACATAGATGCTCAGCAGTCCAGTGGGCCAGGTGAGGAAGCTGTGGTTCAGGACCTTGCAGCCCCCTGCGCACACACAGCCAGGAGGTTTCAGTGGGGCCGACACACGAGGAGCCTGGCCAAGAGCCTGCTCCCCGCTTTCATCCCAGTGCCTTCCCCACAGCCACATGCCTCTCAAATACTCTGAAGGATTCATTTTGTAATTATCTGAAGTAGTAGCGATCTGTGATCATCACTACCGCTGTGCGGGAGCTGGACTGAAGGGATTTCCGTGAGCCCCCAACCCACCAAGGAGTCATCTCTCCTTCCCTTCACCATGGGGTGAAGTCCTGGAAATGCTGTCTACTAGCTGGGTGCCCGTGGGGAAAGTTACTTGGCTTCTCAGGGTCTACTTTATTCTTTTGTGGACAAGGATCAATAATGATAATGACCTCATAGGACTGGGTTAGGTAAAAAGTGAAACCATTGGGTGCAGACGTTGTGCCAATGGGGAGTGCTGTAAAGGGTCTGCCATTCCCATTCCTGAGTGGGTCATTAGCTTCCTGAGCTCCCAGGTAACCACATCTCAATGCTCTGAGCAACCTGCTGAAGGACCACTACCCTCGATTATTTCATCCCACGATGGCCTGCTCTGATCCGGAGCTTGCTCATTTCCAACTAGGAAATAAAGGAATGGCCACGCTGTCTCTCTCACACAAGCTGATCTCACCGGCGGGTTCTTTTGTCTTTTTTTGGTTCTTCTCCCCAGCACAAGTTCTAACAGCAGTTTTTGAGGAAGGAAAGGTCTTCATCTATTATCCTTATTCTTTAAAAATACAGATAATGATTCAAAATCATCTTTGAGCAAGGTTTATAAATCAGCTCTTACTTGAAAAACACCAAGATTTAGGTACCAAATTGTCCTTTTTGGGAAGCTAGTGTCTCTTTAATTAGGTTTTTGAAGATAAACAAATACTGACTTTTAAATGGGTAAAGAAATGTGCTTGTTGTTTCTGTCTGGATCTCACTGACATGAGGTGACAGGCAGAGAAGTCCCAGAAACAGGCAGAGGGCAAAGGGGAAGTGTTGAGCTTTACCAGAGGGTAGGTGATGATGAAGGCCACCCAGCCAATCAGCAGGAAGGTGCTCAGGATGATGGTGGCCATGTCCTTGAGCATGGAATCCACAGGGGCCTCGGGCCGGGCAGGGGCGTGGGCAGGCTTCTCCTCCACATCCCGAGACACAGTGGTAGGTGCGTTTTCTGAAGTCTGGTCAACCAGGTTAATAACCTTGCATGGAAGAGAATTGCACCACCACTGTAAAACTTCTAGCCAGATACAGATGAGGCCAGCAAACAAGACAAGCAATCATTGTTTACAAGGATATGACTGTACTGCAGGGTGCTGTATTTGATTTAAGCTCACCAAAGATCATGTAGCCAGATAATTGTTGCCTCTTTCAAAGCAATTGCTTTGAGAGGTCATGCATCTTTGCTGTGATGTTATCATCATTCAAAAACAGTTTTTGGAGCAGTATTTTTGGCAAGTGTCTTCAGACCCTATATATATATTTTTAAATCCTCAAAAAGGCAAAAACTTCCTCCTTTGATGGTAGTTTCAGTACCTGGGAAAACTCTGAAGTCATCTGTAACAAAGTCTGGTGAAAAATTGGTATTCAATACAATAATACCATTTCACCTTAAAAGGAAATCCCAATGTATACAGAGGTACACAGATAGATGGTAATAAAGCAGTTTTCTTATGTTGCCTGTAAACTGTCAGTGCAATCCCAAAAATGTAATTTATTCCAGTAGTCCACTATTTCTTCAAAGTTTTTAAAAAGCATCAGAAGCATTTAAGGAAAATTTTATTTAAAAGCCCAAAATTAAATCAGATAAAAATGGAGCCTCCCTAGAGTCCCTCAGAATCTCTAGGACTTCATGGAACATGTATTAGAAAAATGCATTCATTCTCAAGTAGCTAGTATTCTAGGTGTGCAGTTATCATTTGCCCAACAAAATTAACACAGCCTCCCTGGCATGTGCTGAATTTCCCACATGCTAAATTTCCCGCATGCTCACACCATTTCACTCCTGCCCCCAGATGGCTGCCCATAATGTTCTTCTCTCCCCTTCCAGGTGTATCCCTCTTGTTTGCGTCTCTCCCACAGTGCCTCCCACATTTTGGGGGGTTTTTGGCCCACAGAGTGTACAGGAAGCAGCAGAGCATGTGACCAGGGACATCTGTATATCTCATTATCATACAGACACACCTCAAGAGTATTTTAATACATACTTTTTAAAAGACAGTTATCCAAGATTGGATGGTTAAATATAAAAATCTGACCTGTGGCTACCTCTGGGTGTTAAATTAAGGGCATTGTTTTATTTTCTTCTATATGTGTTTATTTTCTAAGTGCTCAATAATGAATATGCAGGACTTTAATAAGATTACAGGACAATGCTGTTTGAGATTGCTGTTGCAGGAATCAATGTATTTCTCCAACCTGGCTGCCTCTGGAGATGATATTAAACAGACACTGTGCCCTGGAATCTTGGAAGTCCACAATTTTGCTTTGTTTCTGGATACAATCTAAATCTCTCAACTGAATTTGTTGTGCTTTTGGTCTCCGCACCAGCCAGCCATTCTCATCTTCGTCTGGCCCTGCTCATGTGGCCCAGTGTGTCTCTGTCCCTGGGCCCTCCATGGCAGGGCTGCCGAAGCTGCCGAGCCTGAATGGCTCACTAAGCCTCAGATGCTCCCGTTCCCCTTCCCTGGCCATGTTGGGCTCCCTCCAGTAGAGCCACCCTTCTACCTCCTCCACCGGCTCTGTGCCCCAGAAGGCTGATCTGTATGGGCCAAAGCAATGGTTTCCCCAACGCCCTGGGGTTTCTGAGGTGGTGAAGCTAATAGGGGGCACCAGCAGATGAGAGAGGTAGGAGAATGAGGGTAAGTTCTGTGGCTGCTGAATTCCTCAACTGATGCTTTCAGCTCCTGGTCTGGAGTCCTTTCTACTCCCTTTCCTCTGGCTTCAGGCCAAGGTGTGCTAAGAGAACCCCTGGAACTGCCCACATCTGTGCAAATAGTCCCAGGCCACTCTCTGTCTACTTCAGAAAACTTCAGGTCTCCTCACTTCTTCAACAAAAAAAATTTTTTTAAGTGGCAGGGTCTTGCTATGCTGCCCAGGCTGGTCTGGAACTGCCTTAGCCTCCCAAAGCACTATTACAGCCTTCAGTAACTCTTAACTTGTCCATAGGACTTGCTCCAGACCCCATAACATGGTTCCTTTCTACCTGTGTGAGCCCATTTCTGACCACTCCCTGCCTGGTAGCCTCAGGTCTGGCCAGGCCTTTCTCCCCACAGCCTGGGAGCTGGGCACACCAGCATTCTTCCCAGTCCCAGCCTTTGCCCTTGCTGTTCCCTTCCCTCCTGTGCCCCTTTGCTCCCTCTACCAGGCCAAATCCTACCCATTTGTCCAGGTCCAGGCCTAGCTTGGTCCTGCTGCCTTTCCTGCCCTTTCCTTTACAAGTTGCTTCCTATTCCTCTCCACCAGCCCTTAACCGTTCATGTTGTTTGCTTTGGATTCTGGGGCATTCCTCTTACCTCCCATTCTAGGCTACAAGCTCTGAAGGCAAAGCCAAAGTCTAACCCCTCACCCTCCCAACACTTAACACCAACAGCCCCCTGACTGGTCACGTCTTCACTCACTTCCTCAAAGCTCTTTTTCTCCGAATCAGCAGGAATCACATTTTCCCGATGTTTGGGCAGATTGTTGGGAAATCTCTCCAGCATCTTGGTAGACGCAGACAGTGGCGTTTCATGGTGTCCTGTGAGAGGAAACAAAACCTTTAGTGAGAACAGTTTCCTGAGCTGTGGTTGGCACTCAACGCTAAACTTAGGCAACAGGTGCTACCCACTAAGGGGTCTACAATGCAAACTCTCAGCAGGACTGCAAGAAGACTGTGAGTTAGAGAAAATGAGAGGCAGTTACCAGAAAATTCCATCAAAGCAGGACCTTTATCACTTGATGGCAGAATACAGTATTCCGAGTCTCCTACTGAGGAGCAAAGAAGTGTCCTTGTCATGACAGGGATCGGGACATTTGGGATACACCAGAGGCAAGACTCGTGGGGCTGCCTGTGTCTGATCCACAGGTGAAGTATTATGAAGCTTCATTAAAAGTTCAAGTTCCCCTTTCAATGCTTTCCCCTGTAACGTCACTCTTCTAAGGCTGCCGAATTCCCATCTTGGTATTTAAATTGCTCAGGTGGAGTTCTAGTCCTACTACTATCTAAATGTACGCTTCCATCCAGGAAAGTGAGACATTACTTGCCAGAGAGCAGTAGGATACACCTGCTTAGATGGATGGGGCCACAGCTCATTCCACATTAATTCGCTGTTCACTACACAACTATTGCATGGCTTCTGAGTGCGCATTCATTACACACTTATTGAGCATCTATTATGTGCAAATTAAGAGATACAAAGCTGACTACAATATGGAACTGGGATTGAATAGAGCTTGATAATCCATTCAGCTCTAAAATGAAATGAGTCCACATACTGCCCCAAAGAGCCAGGTCACCTTTTCATGTGAGGCTGGCCGACTTTCCTTTCTGTTCTTACTGTGAGCAGATCTCACTCTAGCTCAGGTCTCTTTCACCTTATAATCTTTCCATTGTTCCCCTGAACCTAACAAATTTCATAACGTACATGCCAAGATGACAACAAACAGGAACTAGTCCAAGCTATGTACATTTCTTGATCTGGAAAATTCCTCTTTGATTCCCCATTTTTAGGTCAGTTCTCTATCTATGACATAGTATCATTCTTTATGGGAAACCTACTTATGTTTTGAGCCATCACTAGTTTTTCTTGTGTACCAAGGAGCTCTGAGACATGCTTTGCTTGGAGCAGGATTTCCCCATGTGTGGTCTGCCCACTTCAGACCTCTGAACCAGATTTGCTGGTGGAGCCCAGGAATCTGATTGTAATTATCTGTGGGTATCTGTCGGTAACTGTGAGGCTCACTAACAAGAGACCTACAGTCTAAGAAGTGAGGTGCCCTTCCACATGCCACACTGTGCGGCAGTGTCCTGCCCTTCTCCCCACAACACCCACTCAGTGCTCAGTCCTACCTATCTGGTAGGGCACCTGCCGAGACTGCTATGGAAGGTATTAGCCTGAATCCCACTAGTCCTCCTGTCAACCTTCTTGTAAACAGGCTTCTCCTGGAGCTGGGCCTTCACTAATATCACACTGCACACACTGAACCAACTACTGTACAACCTTACTCATGAGATCGTTAAACATTTTTGTACAGATAGCACCTGGTCTTCTTGACGTATTCGTCTATCGTTATCTCTTAGGTCCGGACCCCAGAGCAAAAAGCAGATGGCTAGGCCCTGCCCCAGACCTACTGATTCAGGCTCTCCTGGGTTATACATGCCTATTTAACTAAGCTCTGATGCTGAAAGCACCCTACATCAGGGCCGTGACTCTGGGAAACCCACAGACCAGGCCACTCAGGCTAACTGAATCCTTGTATGTATTTTCAAGATTAATGACAACCTGGAATATCTTTAACGTTTTCCACAAAGAGAAAATGAAAGGACACATTTGGACATAGAAGGGCACATCCTTTTACTTGTGGCCCTAGTCAGCAGAAGACACTGCTATAATCTCAGTGCCATATTTTAAGATGACAAGCTTTCAAGCTCCTCAAAAGAGACTTTGGAATTGTGGGATCTTTATACTTAATCGTTGCCTTATACTTTGCTGTTTTTGCAGTTTTCTTACTTGGACAACCTTTTTAAAGGGATCTCATTTTACAAGTTAACCATGAAGACCCCTGCCCTCGTACTTTCAGTATTCTCATATATACATATTTCCTTAATTCCACTTCTTAATCACTGGCGGACAGTCTGTGAGCGCCTTAACTGGCACATAATGCTGAGCCGCCTTGTAACTGGAATGGTCTCTGCTCACTAGCTATTTTTTTATCACCATGGGCCTATTCATGCATACTTCTATTACTACTTCTGTCAATAAACAAGTATTATTATTTTTTCATCTCCTTTACCCATTATTTGGTAAAAATAATAAAATTAAAACGGCTATAAGGAATCAGGATGAAAAAAGAAATGGACCCTATAGAAAAATCTGTAAAGAAAGGGATCAGGGCTCAGGGACACCTGGTTTCCCCAGTAACACCTGTTCACACACATCCCCACCTACACCCCACTGCCTGGCAGACCCTGCTGCTTCCTGGTCCCCAAATGCTCCCAGCCACCCCACATCTCTCTTCCGGAGCCCCAGCCCTGACCTATTTCTCCCCTAGGTCCTGTCATCAGCAAGCACGAGAGGAAGAGAACACAGAGAAGAAACCACATCAGCCCCTGGGTGCTCTAGCACCTGACTGACCTCCTGCCCCACCCTCTGCCCCTACTGGGGCTGGGAGGTGGCAAAATAGTGAGAAGTGGGGCACAGGAAGAGCAGATGGGGTTCAAGAAAACTCCCTCCTATTCTAATGACTTGGTACACTCGCCAGGAACACAGCTCTTCTCACCTCTGCCTTCGTTTGTCACTCTCACTGCCTTTGGGTGTCATCTCAACTTCTTATCTCTCTTGGGACAGGGCCTCCAGTTCAATCCATGGCCATTAGTGATGGCAGCAAAAACAAGAGAGAAAGGAAAAAAGGGACCTTCCCAAACACCTGGGATGATACTGTCCTAGACCTACGACCAGCCCCTGACTCTGCTGCTCTCAACACGTCCTGGGATGTAATCTCTCCTGGGTCTTCAGCCCTCACCACCACAATGCCCACCCCCACCCCCATGACCACCCTGACTCCAAGTGAATAATTCCACAGAAACAGCCTCAGTTTTCTTAACTATAAAATGGAAATGAGAAGGGTACCCACCTCACACAGGGTCACTGTGAGGAATAAGTAAATGCATTTTCTTTTTTTGAGATAGAGTTTCGCTCTTGTTACCCAGGCTGGAGTGCAATGGCACGATCTCGGCTCACTGCAACCTCTGCCTCCTGGGTTCAGGCAATTCTCCTGCCTCAGCCTCCTGAGTAGCTGGGATTACAGGCACGCGCCACCATGCCCAGCTAATTTTTTGTAGTTTTAGTAGAGATGGGGTTTCACCATGTTGACCAGGATGGTCTTGATCTCTTGACCTCGTGATCCGCCTGCCTCGGCCTCCCAAAGTGCTGGGATTATAGGCGTGAGCCACCGCGCCCCGCCTATTTTGTATTTTAATAGAGACAGGGTTTCAGTATGTTGGCCAAGATAGTCTGGATCTCCTGACCTTGTGATCTGTCCGCCTTGGCCTCTCAAATTGCTGTAATTATAGGCGTAAGACACCACACCAAGCCAAGGAAATGTATTCTAAAGGGCTTAAAGTCAGATAATCACTCAAGGTTTATATAATTTAGTACCTGAGGTTTGGAACATTAAACAGTTTTCAAAAACGGACTCAGAAACACAGCTATGCTACCTCGTTGGTTTTCCTTGGGGGCAAAAATGTTCCAAGGTCTCAGTGGCCAGCCCAGAAAGGTTCTGAGCACAAGGCCTTCATTCGGGTGTGGTGTAACCACCAGGGCCGATGGTCACCCAACAGGAGGCAGAGGCAGCATGCCATCACCTCAGGCTACCATGGGAGACCCGCTCTTACCTATCAGAAGCCAGTAATTCCTCAAGTAGTTGAGCTTGTTCTTGCCTTTGAGTCCGGGGTCAAACTTGAGGTCCGTGCTGGGCGTGATCACACACTCCCCCTTGTCCCCAATGGTGACGCCATCAGTCTGGGGGCCTTCCAGCAAAGGAAGTGTGCTGCCGCGGGGCTGTGAAGAGGGTGCAGTGAGGGCTGGGAGCCCTGGAGGGACAGTGGGTCCCAAGGCACACCTTTCCAGCCACTGTCCTGCAAGATGAGTGTTTTCTAGTGCAGGGCAAGTCCAAGACAAAGCAAGACACAAAGGCCCAAGGACTGGGCAAAGAAGCTCCTCCTTCGAGATGTGACATGCTGCACTGATGTCTTTAACATGGACATCTTTTTAGATTCTTATGTCTGGGTACTGGGGAACAAGAAGTATGTGTGTACAACTCCAAGAAGCTTTCTTTTGTTGTTTTTTTTTTTTTT